AATGGTGCGTTTCCAAACTAGAGACAAGTGTGAAAGTGACCACAAGTTAGGGATCTGGGGGTGTTCACAGATCGCGCAAATTTGGACAGCCACAGACATTGTTTGATGCCATACATGTAATATGATATTTACTTATGGTAATTTTGCCGCAGCTAGCAGCCATGGTGCAACGTGAGTGCCCGTGTAAACAAGTGCCATCCTTTGTTGTTTACTTTTCCAGGTCAAGATGTCAGACGTTTGGCTTGGCAACCTTGGATAGGTGGAATATTTTTCAATTTTCTAAGCGAAAAATTGAAAAACAATTATTTGGGAAGAAATTGTCACTCCTCCGAACATTACACGCACCTATGCTACCATAAACAACCTTACTCAGTTTCTTTGAACACTTCCCCTAGAACATTCATACCCCGAGTACTGTTGGGCTGTCGCCCAGGTATTTACAACCTACACAGGAACATGCCGTCATCGATGATCAGTGCTTGCAAAATGTCAAGTGACCAGGTAACCAGACAATTGCACTGTCAAAGTTGTTACTCCGGTTACTGAAACGTCGGTCGGTAGTAAGCGAAATACGACGTTACTGGCCACAAATACGCCGGTGTGTTCGTACAACTGTGCCTTCAGCTGCATCAGAAATGCAAGGCAATATAATTGATAGAAAAATGATCTAAACTTTGAAAAGCGGTATCCAGACCACTGCGTTGCGATGCCTATATAATCAGGTCTATATGATTCAGTGAATTTATATTATATTGTATATTATATATTACATATNTTGCCATATTATTTATAGTAAATTTTCCTTGGTTTTCATATGTCAAACACAGTGAAAATGGTCAGGTACACTAATTTTTGCCTAAGAAAGAGCTGGCATAAACCAACAGCTATTTTTTGCCCACCAACATCCGGATAATGTGGATATTTATTGTGACCAACACTCAGTCCAGAGTACCAAGAACTGGCGAATCCCCATCGGACGATGCACGATGATAAAATGAATAAGGTTAACCTTTGTACACATTTTTGTTATGTGGTTTGAAGACGAAGTAGCAACAAGGACATGCGCAAAAGAACCGACTTGTTTGACTGCATCAAGGAAAATACTGTGATAGTAAGGCAATCAACTGGATGAATCTCAGCAAAAAGAAACACGGTTTCGACTGCAGAACAACGTTGCAACAAGATGTATTATGGCATATCGATCTCAAATTAGAAGACAGTTGCACCTACGTTTGCCCAAAAACTCGACGATTTTAGTTCCCAAAAACATTCAATTTTCGTGAACTGAAAAATGTCCTATAGGTGTATCAGAGTAATTTTTTTAAATACGAGAGAATTCATCAATTTTATACCCCATGATTGTGGAGCACTAGAGCCCCTGGGGTCAGAAAATTGCAGTGTCGGATAGCACCCATTTTCGCACCGAAACATGGAAGGTTCGGTAATCTCTCACCCGTCTTAAACCACTTTGCCCTTCTTCTAATGTCGCTTGCTTTTCTAGGCTAGCATAATCCGTATATGATAACGTTAGGCTTGATTTAATTTGCATCCAACGTGGAAAACGTTGTATGAGGTACAAATTGCTCTCTCGAACAAGTAGCACGGCTTAAAGGCAGTGAATTTATCATCCAGGTTACCATCGATTCCCAAACGTAGAGCATGGAGGCGGAAAGCTTTAGTATTTCAAGTTTGCATTTTGGGCGGTGTTAATCTTTATCGCTATGTTTATTGTGTACCAGTGTATTCGCCATTTGATCGTCCCGTTTAGAGCCACAATCCTCGTTTATATTGAATGAAAAATGTCGTAAACAAGAGTTTAACTTAAGTCTCTCATGACGATTCGGTTGATACGCAAATGATCTCAAATGCCGTAAATATATTTGTATTTGCGCAACTCATTTATTGAGACAAGATATTCGAAATCTTTCGGCCAAATTGTCTAGATCTGTTGCGAGGTTTTCTTAACAATACTGTGTTCTAACTACCTGTCTCTAAAGAATAAAATTTGAAACTGGTGGCAACTGGCCCAGCGTGTGTTAGCCGGAAAAATCCCACAAAATCGAGTATGGATAATTTTTTTACTTTATTATGATATTCATACTATCTTATTTGTTGATAGACCCACAATTGAGCGGTTTGGTGCATAACATAAGGTAGCCCCACTGAATAGCTGAAACGATCAATAACTGCCTGGTGTCTTAGCTCGTCAACAATTCCTAACACACAATGCGCCTGAACGCGCCTTGCTCAACTACACAAACTTTGCAACCGTGTCAGCATCCAGCCTGGTCGATAACATGTAGGGCGAGCCCGGAAATGGATACCATTCACACTCTTCCCGTTACCATTGTGATTCCCTACTGAGAATAATGTTCTCCGGCGCCCTGCAACCGGTAAGTCAATAATTCTGAACATATGATCAAAAGCCCTTGTTCTCAACTTCCAGGCCAGCATACTGAGTTTCAACATGCTTCCTTAATGTTAGGCAAACTTCCCGTAAATAGCGCTGCAACTTCAATCGGTTTTACATGGTTCCTTTTAAGAGGCCGCGCCTTTGTATGAATGCCATTCAGCACAGTTGGACAAAATCGCATTTTTTCTTAATCATCACTGTTTTTGGAAGTTGACCGATAGACTCTCATGTGTTTGCGATCAGGTTCATGGAGTAAGAACTCACACTGTAGTCTAATCGTGTTGCAGAAATGCTCGATGACATTCATCTGCTAACATTTATTTTGGTAATGTTTGTCCAACAGCTTTCTCACGCTGTTCTGCAAAAACTACCGAATCGTCAGTGCGGGAATCCTTTTTTCAAAAAGCTATTCGACAATCAAGCTGTGAAACCCAGTAAGATGTTTACCTCAAATCTGATTGGTCATTTTGAATTCTCGGTTTTAAGTTTATGACAAACATCTACTGTTTAGTCAGACACAAATTTCAGGTCTTGATATAACGCTGTTGAAACATTGCATGTTAGTAAACATTCAAATTATTTTACAACTTTAAAGAAAAGAGATTGACAATAACCCTCAGTGGTGTTTTACTTCACGATAATTTTCAAAACGCATGAAGACTTATTTTGCGCTGAGTATTCTCACCCAATGTAGAAGCTTAAAAATAGCTTGTTGTGTATTCACTCAAATGGTGAATGATAAACTTGTGGCTTGATTTTTCATACGATTCACTCAAAATCACTCCGAAATCTTTTTGTAGGACCACCAACGCAACAGCCAGGGGTACAAACCGGTAAGCTCTTAAACATAAGCTGGATATGTCGCGATTTATTATACTTTGTTGTGCTTTTTGAAACACGTTACGCTACATCGTTGATCACCCATTTCACTACCCAAAACAATTTTCCGGTTTCGCAATTAAGTTTTACTGTCCCCGCTAGGAACTGCTACGCAAATGGTCGCTGAAGACGTTGCCTGAACACCTGTGGTGATTTAGAAGAGATTTCCGGCTTATGGGGGTTTCGCGGCATCTCAGATTAGTAACGGTTTTTATACATTATGTTCCGAGGATTTTCGAAATGTGTAACAAAGAAAAACGCCATCCCTGTGATCTCAGGTATATTCAGACTTAGGGGCGCAGCTTACTAGAGTAAGAAATATACAGCCATTTTATACCTGGTATTGGTCGTTGATTGATAACATGTGTACTTGGAAAAATCCTGCAAAAGCGCCAAAAACATAATTTTTTCTCTGACATTTAGGCGTCTTCTGAACTCTATTTTTATCATCAGTATCAACCAACGCACCAGAGACAATAGGTATGCTTATGATAATTACATATTTTGTGCAAATTTTGACGACAATTTGAAGTTTACTTCTCAACTAGAGGATGTCGGATAACCCATTGCTTGAGCATCAAAGAATAAGTTCAAAGATTGATGAAGGGCAAAACATCCGAATCCGGTTGAGTAAACGCAAATCGGGAGCATCAAATAATAGAGGGAAATGCTTCAGCAAACAAAAGAAGGATTTACCAAAAAACTATAGTTTAGACATTGCTGCATAAACATGAATGTTTTAGTGAACATTTTGTAGATATTCGAAGTTACGAACACTTCTGGTGATCTTTTATAGCATAAAAAATCTAAGGATTAATAATAAATGTGCACTTGAAGTGCCTTCTTCCCTTTCGACCTGTGTGTTTATTACTTTTGGGTACGATTAACCCCACAGATTGTGATTATCAACTTAACGAGACGTCTGGAACCATAAATTCGACGAACTATCCGGTCAACTATTTGAACAACCTCGCATGCTCATGGTTATTGTCCAAAACTGCGACGCAGAAAAAGATTTTATTTCTCGGATTTGACGTAAGTCATCTTATGAGCGATTTGAATTTTGTGTTCAACAACGTGTTGCTCTTCGGTGGGGAGAGATTATATTTTGGACATTCAAGGAACAAATATTATTCCATTTTTGTGTGAAAGTTTATCACATTTTAGAAAACTGTATGTTCGACATGCTTCTGTGTGACGGACGTTTGAATTTACATTCAATCAGCCCGAGGAAATTGATACAGTTCACCTCCCTTTGACGTTTAACGTGAATTGTATTTAAAATTTCGCATGAAATTACGAACTTTAATCAGGTTTTCGGGAAGGCTACAAGCTGCTCTTCCATATAGCTCGAAAGTAGGATTTATTCGGTGGAAACATGAAGTGACCATCGACGAGACTTTCCTTAGGCAACAACGAGTTTTTACGCGTCCATAAAACCGATGCACTGAACCATTCACTCACCAATAGAAGCTTGCAGCCGCTATATTAGACTACTTGTGATACCAGACATCAACCACAAATTATTGGCCGGAGTCCAATAAATTCCCTGACATTTGAGCTTGGTTTTCAACTTCTATGGCGTACCCAGATGAATAAATGATGTGACAGATGAGTTTTACACAAGCTAATTATTTTGTTTGGATTTCCCCGTCGTTTTATCTATGCCTAGATACAATAGTTAGCGTCGATAAATTATGCGACAAACATGATCAACTGTGGACCTAAAATGAGTTATTCTCATCTACAGGTGGAGCAAAGCGGCTGGGTAAACGAGTGTCAGTACGATTATCTGTATGTTTATGTTGACACTGGCGACGATATAGAAGCTTATGGGCCATTCTGCGGCACGAGGATTCCGGATCCTGTCCTATATGTTGGTAAAGCCCAGGTTACCTTCGTGACTGATACAGAGGGAACACGCAAGGGATTTTCACTGTTATATGGACTAGGTGATTTATATGATATTCAAAACAATACGATATTGTATTGGTCATACCAGTGGCTACTGACGATGTGAATGGTAGCTCCGAGCTCTGGCATTAACTAATCTGGTTTCCGAATGCAGTTTTCAACCATTGTAGAAGCTAACTAAGGGAGTACAACATTATGATATAAATAGGATTGCGGTAAAACAGACGGGAGGCATGAAAACGGACGACTTAGTTTACCTACGTGTTGCATTTAATGTCTCAAATTCAGGTGTATGTATGGAAGTATTGAATGCAGTCAACTTCGGGCGCACCTGGTATACCTGAACGCTGGTTTTCGCTGACTAGGCAACTGACAGCAACACAGAGACGGTTCCCAATTCAACCTGTATAGAAACGCTTCTCATTTCTCTTGGAAGCCTAAAAAATTATATTTTGATCTTGTGAATTAGGCACCCAAATTTTGATTATTCTATGAGTATTTTGAATTGAGTACGGTAATTGTCGTTCGCATGTTGATATAGAGGCAACCTAGGCCTCCCAGTAAGCTCACTCATGGTCGTCTTAGTTTATCACATCACCACTAGATAGAGCCGCGCTGCATACAATAAGTGACTCACTAAGCGGTATCAGCCGACGTGTACGCGAAATAAAAGGAATCATTTTCTAGGGAAGTGTAATGCGTTCCTTTGGTTAAAGCTCTGCAGGAGAAGTTCATATGTTCACTGATGCCTAGTCACGTTTCCAACGGGAGAGAGCAGTACATTAGCGATGGGCACGTCATTCACTTTAATCCTCCTGAACGTTTTATTATGCATCGTTTCACTGATACATATTGATGTAGAAAATTTATCCAGGTACCCTTTCGCCCACTTTTTCAGAACCTGACATGACCAAGTGCCCAGAGTCAGAAGCAGTGACCCACTTCTATGTGCCTACACTCTGTTATTATTTGGCGATAATGGTAAGTCGCTGCAACTTCCATACAATCCATTCAAAGCCATCAAAATTAACCACTGAGAGTACGTGCCTCTTTGGCTACCGCGTTTTTATTTGAAGTGATGCAGTGACGAGTCTCTCTGCTGCAATGACCAGACACAAGCGGAGTTTACCCCAATAAAACTAACATGATTGATTCAAATCACTTTTGCACAAAGGATACTTCCACATGCAAATTTACAGCATTATAGAAGAAAGATTCCAGCTCACATCTAAGAAGCACTCAACTGGCATTTTTAAGTCTTCCACCAAAACTCCAACAAACGTTGCCCATATATAACCAAAAATTTAGGTTGGACGCCTGGAAAAAATTTCACATCCTTTAGGCGCTGTAGCTTTAAACTTTTTTTGCCAGATCCCAAATGAAAAGGGCGGGAGACACGGTGTTGTTAGATACGCCACAAATAATTTTACGTTGCAGTTTGTTAATGGTGTCCCACGTATGTAAGACATGAAGACCTGAAAACTGCTGACAAGGTGGTATTATAAGTTTGCACACTTACTTTATTGAGACAATTTGGAAACCAAAACATCATTTATGTCCACATTTCAAGCGATGGCAAGATCTTATTTTATTTCCAGACATGAAAATGAACCCTACCAAGTTCGTTGCGGAGTTGCTGGCCAATAAGAAAATAAAACATATCCCCGATAAGCAAAGTATTTTCCTGAAATAACGAAAGATGTTTCTTTATTGTCAATCCAGCATGTGTGGCACTATGCAGTAAAGTATTTTTATTGTACTAATATCATTGAATCAATAACTGCCAACTCCTTTTCATTGGGACTCCCTTCGACAGATGACCTTTAAACTGCTGTGAGAAGGAAGTCAAAGGATGTAAAGCTCTGCTTTAACCGATGTGGCCGGCAGAATATTTTTGGGTGCTTTCTGCGGTGTCTGCTCCTAACATGTTTTCAGTTGTAGAATTTTTGCTCGCACTTAAACTTAATGAGTGTCAAGTATGCAATGCTAACAATATCAGGTGGCGTTATTTTTGTATACATATAACAGGTTGTAAACGTAGATTCTTGTTGTGTCAAAACTATTTTGATAAAGAAGCCTTTTGTGCAATGTGGCAAAGCAAATACGGGTAAAGGGGTTGGACCGAATATAAAATAGCTTCAACTAATCACCAGAAAACCCACGCTGGCTAGAACATATCCGTTTTTTGAGACTTGTTTCTGAAAAATTGTATACAGCGAAGTATGCCGAAATATCCTGGCCAGCAAAACATGATTATCGCGGACTTTAAAGAAACTCGCGTTTGCTCACTCTTGCCTTTTGAAAAAGCCCGATGAATTTTTAAAATAATTATGAAAGGGAACCATTTGTTACATTGCAAGCAATGAATTTGTGAGTCTGTAATTGCGCATAAAAGCGGCAGCATTATAATGGGGCATGCTATACATTTTTATCATAAATCAATATGTTCGTCCACCATTTTCCTAATTTGATATCGGTGATATCGGTGATTTCGGAATATTCCCCACATTATTTAACGGCACTGCATGGTATAAGGTAACATTCACCCCCGAGCTTATGAGGAAACGTTTGATCCAACATGTGAGAATGAGTGGGTTTTGTGTATTAAACACTGATATCATGCCACCTGTGCGGAAATAAATGTAGCTTTACAATAATAGTTTACAGTAGAGAAATTTATTCCCTCAGCTATGTTTGGCGATCAAAATAAAATCAAATAAAACCTCGATAGCAGTACTTATCTCCTGCAGTATTGAGCTCTTGACTTGATAGAAGTGCAGTGGCATCTTGATATGTTAACCCTGTAGCACTTTTCCGTGACCGGCACTAAAATTAAAAAAAAACACGGAAAACGTTTGAGCTAGTACTTGTAATGTAGTTGGAACTAACCGTTTAAGGAGAGCCCTGTCCTTTCACGAAGCTCGGGAGTTTGCTTCTAATATTTTTCTAATATGCGTGAACGATTCACATCCGCAGCTACTTCGAACTAACAATAAATATACGTCCCCGCTTCTCTAGAGATAATACTTTGGCGCTCAATAGTTGTGACGAACCGACGTAAGGTGCTCAGTTGCGGGAACACAAACATCTAATTTACGCATACACTAGCTGAATCTAACAGAAGTTGCAGCACAAATCCCCTTTCCGAGGGCATCACCGGGTTGACAAGGCACCAGGTAGAGAACCAGTTAAGAATACCCGATGGTTAAACATTTACTTCTTTTTTTCTGCAAAATATCTCCATACACCTGCACATACTTATAGCCACCCGGGCGTCGGGGGCTTCAAACAGAAGTTTTTCCCACTACGGACGACAAGCATGGTAAACGTAAAAAACAAATTATCAAAGATTTTTTTCTTTATCCACGTGTCCATCCTTATTGGAACACATGTGCAGAGCTCAAACGCCATGACAAAACGCTTCAGTTTGGAAGAGAATTACGAAGTGAGCTTCTTTCGGTTGAAATGGAAAATCGTCCGTTTCAGCGCTGCTAACCAACATATTGGAAAATCTTGCTCAAGATCAGTGAGTGCCGCATTATTTTTTGGCATATGGTCATGGAACTTACTGATTTACAATAAGTAAAACGGATCGAATGAGCAAACAGCGGAGGTCAGACCAGTTGAAGCTGCAAACTTTTCTAATTCTGGATTTACCAGGGAGGGCTACCGGAACCCATTCGTGGGCGTCTTCTTGCTGAGGCAATCCAATTAGTTGAAAGGCATTCGTATTTTGCCTTTTCGAAAACCTAGTGTCTAAAATAGCTCTCATTCACTTCATGGTAACGTGAGTGGCGCAGGTAAACTGAACAAAAGTTGGACAATTTCCCGTTAATCAGTCTAGGTTCAGAAATTTTATAAAAAAGAAAGGCCAACAGTCAAAGCATGATGCGATCAGAACACAGACGACGTGACAACGCGACTCGTTAATAGGCAGGTTGCACCAACGGGCAGAGGGCAGGCGATTACCCAAACAAAATAAGGGTAATATTTAAATATACCACATGTTGGAATACTGACCAGTAAAATAATCGTGCGGGTTGTTCACTCCACAAAATATTTCACCCACGGGAATTTCTCGCTCATCCACAATTAATCTACGAACGGCCAGTCACCATGTGATCGAAGGCGCATTCGGCCTACTAAGTGAGTCCAAGCTTGAAACTTAAAACACGCAAGCTCATAGTAGACCTGTTGAGATAACCGTAAGCTGTCTGCAACCATATTGTCAAGGCTGGCGAAGAACCGTAAGTCGTGCTATTTCTTTTGCGGGAAAAAGCGTCCTTAAATGGAGGTTTTAAAAGCGACAAGCTGATCTACAAACACCAATTGAACATGAGGCACAAAAAACACTCAAGCGCATCTGTCGGAAAATCTGCGGTTTAGGCGTGTTCATGACACTCACGTTCACGAGCTGCTCATGTGATATACTAAAAATGAGAAGAACAGCTCTGAAAATAATCTCGGGGAAATTAATTTCTTACCGCCATCAGTAGTTGAAGCTAAGAAATGCAGTCGGCACCGAAAAGTACGCAGCTGTGAGCACATGTGTGCATGACGGTTTATTGTTGTGGTGATAATCGGAATGTTCCGGTTTGGAAAGGCAGACTTCGATCATCTTGATGACATTTGCTTTAAATAACGTTTCTTTTTTCGTCCTGCTTCCTTCTAGTCGCTGAAAATATTACTTTTAAACAGGTTGGCTTGTTTGTAGACTTACAAACTCCACTCAGTCAGTATCTCAAGGCTAAGTTAAAATGGCGATATGGCCGTGAAAGTAATTGAAAATTTCAGAAATCGCGATAGCCCCAGTTGCGAGGCGCAAGCGAAATTAAACGTTTGAAACTTCTTAAACCTTGCAGGCAATAGACAATAACACTAGATTTTAAATTGTTTTGTAGATCCAAACAAGCGTCAGTCCAGGTTGGATGAAATCGACGTGCTCACGTGCAACACATCACATATTTGCATAACGGGTATTGCAAGCTCTTTTTGGTTTTGAACACGTGCTCTTTTTATTGCTCTCCGTTTGCTGACTGAAGTGTTGGATGAGACATATTTTCGCCAAGAAGCTACTCATCAGTAGTAGCGGTGGCAGTCGCGGCTGTTCGACAAAATTCAACACAAGTGTACGGTCTGCAGTTTTCGACTAATAACGCATAAATTTTTCGTCTCATTATATACCTTGATCTCTTGGGCAGCATATTGATGTTGTCTGAAAGATGTAGATTATTTTGTAAATACTTTTTAAAGAAATTGGCCGAAACTGCATTGTTCGATGGTTGTACTGAACTGCCATCAGGGACAATATAAAAAGCACCAGTGAATTAAAAGATGATTCATTGTTATTGGAACTTGTGCATCGGTTTGGTCATCGCTTTAAACACAGTTTAATCGGTGTTAAATTGCACATCATAAGCATTATGATTTACTTCTCATTCACTTATGACCTGGGCTCAGAACGATATATCCAAATTGGACATCAAACCTCTGCATTTACATTTTACTTTCTAATGATGAACTAACAAAATAACATAAAATAAAAATAAACAATAAACAAACAAACTGAATTTGAGTCAAACTAAACAATCCATTCCATGCGATTGTATCACCCTCTGGTGCATGACAATTTATTGTCAACAAATCAGTTTGAAAATACGTTGCCACCCTAGTTAACTTATAACAATGCCAATCCGTCCTATTCAAGTGGAGCGCTCACGCATGTCGCAACAACTCTGAGGCTGAAAACATCATTAGCTGACTGGTGGGTTGATCTTTCCAGTTACTGCTCCCATGTATATACGGACTGTTTGTGATAAAAAAGCGACTAAGAATGAATATGATAACACATACTTCAGTAAGTGAGATGACCCGGATAGTGTATGGCTCTATTTTGTTGACATACGAAATGCATTCACCTTCCTCGTATGCAAACAACATAAAACAATCCACGAACAAGAAATCATTTACCAGTCTTTATGGAGATGTGTTATAGTAAAAATTTTATTTGTTGTTCACATTCTTTCTGCGAAAATAAGGCGTGGTAGTTTATCTCTCCTGCAGGTTTATGAAAAGTGCTACCCCCATAAACTAGATTTAGGGATAAGCTACCAGAGTTTTACTAGAAGGATGTTAGAGAGTTGGTAATATGAATGAAAAATGTTTAGATAGGCGATGTGCTGCGATAAATGAGCGCTATGTGTTTGAACTCAGCCTTCTTGAAATGGACGCGTTTTAATTAGCTAACCTCAGCAACAGCTTGTGCCACGTACAAAAATCAGTCCCAGAATATAGGGGTTAGTTTCCGCCGTGGTAATACTTGAGGAAAAAAAGAAATGTTCACAGTCCTCAAATATTAATTCTTGTCTTATACGCTTCCTGATAATTTATCACGGATTCTTCTGCTTTCGTCAGATATATGAACTTTACAACAAACTGTGCAGATGGAACAGTATGTTCTAATTTCTCCTACGTAAAATCCTGCAATCTTTGTAGTGCAACATGAAGTTGTCATGCGGAGTTTAACTTGTGTCTCCGTCCGGAAATATCGAGTTTTAATAGTCACCTCCGCACACGAGGCAAGTTGCTGGTGAACATTTTTCGCTAAAATAATGTTGATCTAGGAAGTAATCTCAAGAAGTCTGTTTGGCAAATTTTTGGAACTCCATAGAAATGCATATTTTGCATAATGTTAAATAGCTTTCGTCATACGCTGTATGATACATAGCGTAACGCACTTAGAAAACTCGGCATTTAGTGTGTTTTTCGCCGACGCGTGTGAAATTCCGGTCCACCGACCCGTTACCGAAGGATTTTTCCCGCAAACTTATGTATGCCAGAATCAGCGGATGGAACGATGTGAGCTTTATCGTTGTTCAGGAGCAGGAAAATTGGATTGTCAGGACCCGCTGTTATTGCGAATATTCCGGGGGTTTCCCGTGCCGGGTTGTCATTCAAAACGCGTGTGATCACATCTTTACTGCCAATGTATTGTTCACCATCCGCGGGTTCAGACGACACAATTGCAGCCATTGGAGCTGAAAGAGCCGCATTAAGTTGTTGAACCGGTTATGGCGTAATCACCTAGAGAATGTCTTTGCAATTTCAGGAATCAGCTGTTTTGTCGGAAGACTTCATCTTTGAGATCAGCAATCATTTGGGCAGCTCCATCATAATTTATACATTATCTGAGACATGTCAGAATACATTGTGTAAGCTGATCCAGATACATTCGGAATGAATATGGAACTCGTGGTGCACAATTTCCAAGAGGGCGTTGCCAGTCATATCGCTAAAAGTTTTGCGTTAGCTTAGCTAGTGCACCTTGCTTGTTTACTCTACGAATCTGTTTCAAATGAACAAATCATTTTTCCATATATGCATATGAAAAGTCTGTACTTTCACCCGGAAAACGTTTTCTCTCTAGAATTGAGAGCACTTTGTTCACAAAATCCCCAAACCGGGAAGCATACCCTTAACATATATTCAGAACAAACAACGGCACAAAAGGGTAGAACATCGGTCATTGAACAATGTTGTTTCTTATGTCGTGCTTGGCATTTGAACAATTAGCAGGCTCCTCGTCAGTTAGCCTTCGCTGGCACTGAGCTGTGCGTCATATCAATTACTCTCATCCTTCCTACTAATGGCAGTAAATTAACCACAGAAGAAAAGGCTGTCAACAGGATTTAGTGATCACTACATTCACTTTTCTAGCTAATGAGCAGAACTTTAATCAGTCCACTAGCTTCAGGATGTGAATGTGACACTACATCTACTTCCTTTTTGGGATTAGCTAGATTATTGATCACACGGCAACTATCCCTGTTAATTTTATAGCCAAATATTGCCAGGTGATTTTGACTGTAATGTAGTTCATCTGCGCGTAATCCCATCAGATTTGGAGTTGTTGCAGTGATAAGCTTTCATTTTTCCTATGTATGCACGATTATTTTTAGCAGGGCACAANACTACATTCACTTTTCTAGCTAATGAGCAGAACTTTAATCAGTCCACTAGCTTCAGGATGTGAATGTGACACTACACCTACTTCCTTTTTGGGATTAGCTAGATTATTGATCACACGGCAACTATCCCTGTTAATTTTATAGCCAAATATTGCCAGGTGATTTTGACTGTAATGTAGTTCATCTGCGCGTAATCCCATCAGATTTGGAGTTGTTGCAGTGATAAGCTTTCATTTTTCCTATGTATGCACGATTATTTTTAGCAGGGCACAACAAATTAAAACAAACCAAACGTTTGCCTTCGTATTAGAACGCAATTAGACTAAATATTGACGGCAATCGGTGTCACCAAGACGTGCAAGGAAAAGTACACGTCTTCAGACAATATCTAATTTGTGCTGTTCTTAGAAACTACTGAAAGCTTCAAAGCAGCAATCTGAGAAACTCCGGGAAAGAATAAGTAACGCAATATTTGATTCAAATTAGGAATACTCCTCAAATAATCCTTAGTCGATGAACCTGCGAAACACACAAAAACAATGCGGAGCCACATGTTTGCAAATTTTAGACAGATTGCACACTGCTAACGATCTGCTCGGAGATTTGAATTGTAAACAGATTATAATCAAAAATCGTTGAGAATTCGTTCATCAATTGTATAGCTTACAGCGTAGATTGTATATTATTTATTCATCAATTATTGGAATTTGTTGCGATGAATCTAACATCAATATCTCTCCTGAGACAAGAAGTTGCACCGCTTAAGTGTTCACTATTAACAAACTAAGATTTAGTGGGTTTTGACTGGCCGATTAACGTTTTCTTACACGGCGGCCTGCAGTTTATTCACAAACGAGATCTTATGGTCTCACAAGACGCTTGATATCTAGATCAAAACTTATTGCACCCAAGTTACCCACAGTAGTCTAGAGTTAGCAGTAAATAAACCCACCTTATTCTAAAAACAACAGTTGCACACGTTGAGTCTGAGACATTTCCAGGTTGGAACGCTTAAAACGTTGTCTATAAGTATGAGTGCAGCTCTTCACAAATAACTCACCACCGTTGAGGTCTTCTAGTCCGTTCAACACCGCTGTATGTGAAGGAAGAAAAACGGATACTGACGTCAATGTTTGCCTATCAATCCTTCTTAGCAAATAATGTAACTTTTGACTCCTGATATTATTCAAATGTTTAACGTTTTATGCGTAACTTGGTGTCATGATTTGAAAAATGTACATCCTACTTGAGGTTGATAATCTTCTATAANATTTGAAAAATGTACATCCTACTTGAGGTTGATAAATCTTCTATAATCATTTTTATACACTCTTTCACAAGTAAACCATCGGTTAAGAGACGACCAAAGATAACTTGAGTCCTCTGAGGTTTAGATGCCTAGGTCAATATTACATATTGATAACATGTATTATCTTGGTATTTCAAGGGGCTTTGCTGGACGTTATGGGCGCTAAGCGTACAGAGTTATTTTAACCTCGCATTTTACGCCCGCAACAAGGGGGCAAATTAATAAACGGTTGCCGCATGTAGATAAGGAATGATTGAGCACTGTTTACTTCTTCCACCAGCTCACAAAATCATTCGGTAACAAATTCGACGTGTTGCGCAGACTACGAAGAACATCATGTAACCCCTTGAGAAATCGGAGGGTGAAAAAAGCTGTTGAATTTAGGGACATATATTGCACCTATCAAGTGATGCAAGCCATTGTTTTATAGCGGCCGAAATTTTCAGGAAAATTCATGAAAGCGTAGCAACAGTTACGATGTTGGTTAATAATAAAAAATTGCCAACAGTGAATGGATAGGTGAGGGTAAAACTGAAACAATGCCTCTTTTAATTCCCATTGCACGTAGGGCGTTCGACCAATAGGAAAACGGTGCAAATGTGACTATGTGTACATCTTCTGTAAAAATTGAAAATAATGCTGACTAATTTGTGCTGTGTTTTGGCCAGATACCTGTTACGATATAATTGGTGCCATAGCCATATTCTTAAACAGTGGTGACCAAGGGCTATGGCAGTAGTGTGGTGAGGCGTTAGTGTGTGCCCGTTAGGCGGAAGGGTGGTTTAGCCCGACAGGCAGATAACAGAGTACATTCTAAAATGTCCGCCATCGGTGGATCGCCAACAAGCGAGATGTTCGTTTCAGTTCTGGATCATAAATGATAGCCACCATCACGGAATCTGGAACGATCGGAACTAGATGTAGTTTATTCAGGAAAGGAAAATGCGCCTCGGGCGAGCTAAAAGAGAGCCACGTTCTAGTGCTGCATGTAATGGTCGAATAAGCTATAGAGATGATAGACCGGATGTAATACAATTTAGTCAAATGGGAGCTGGGGTTGTTTAGAAGGACAGAAGGTAGTTCGGGTGGCTAGTGAACTAGAGACAGGGAGGCTAGACAGATGGGAAGTGCCTATTCAAGCAGAGATATGGGGTATAACATGGTCTAGATGGTTAAGAGGTTAGAACGCCGAAAGGCTCGTGGTTTGATTCCAACACTGCAACTCACCTTTGATTGTCTATACTTGGGCAACCTGGCAGTATACCAGCCATCCCGCTGCTTTGGGTGACATAGATGATAGCACCGAAACGGTTTTACTGCTGAACGTTTAACTTTTATAGGTGTGACAATAAAAGGTCTAGGATGTCTGTTCTATATTACATTCATGAATGAACGTTGGAAGGCTGGCCAATCCAAAATGATCGCAAGTGTTGATGTCGTTAGCATATAGCAAGCGTTGCGAGATAATTGAGGAAGAAAGGTGCAGCGAATACGCTTGGGGTTTATTCAATCAATTCGCCTCAGGTCAAGCAGAAGCTGACTTGGCATTTCGTAGAATGGAACTGCATTAAAAAGTCGGCCAGTGAGACACGCAAACCAGAACGCATTGCTTGGCATTGCCTGAAAAATGCTTCAGTTAACTACATGAGATGCTACAAAAGAAACAAATCAACCGTCCTAATTTGATGTACAGAAATGTGGTCCCTCGATTTATTCGATGCTCTTATCGGAAGGTTACAGAAACACTACGCAGGAGGATGCTTTTTTCATTATTGCAGAATACAAACCCCCACATCATTTTGGATCCAGGTGGGGTCCATCCAAGAATGGTGGAAGAAAACTCTCCAATGTATTGGTGACTATATGTATATTCCGTATATAACGCATAGTTAAACGTCATAGTTAAACGGCGTTCCAAGTACTCCACGAGACTTGCGTCAGATTGCGAACAGCAAACAGTTTGTCTAATCAAAACGCGGGGTGGACGTTACCTTCATTGAGCGAGTGCAACCAGCTGCTATATAAATGGATCCTGGCCCCAGGTGTGTTGCAGTTGCTTGAGCTCTTTCTCGTAGAGTATCTGCTTGTTTGAACAAAGCAAATGTTTATTTCCCCTCCGTTTTAATGTGGTGTGGCGGATAGGTTTTCCACTATTAACTCAACTAATACACTTATGCGACATAGCAAGAGCGTCCTCAAGCCCGCAGCTCTCACTTTTATGGGGCAACAACTATTCTGAATTCGAGTATATGGTACGTGGAATAGTCTTCCTCCGAGTGATTTTCAAGCTGCAACCAGAACCCAGATAAAACAGTTTTAGGTGTTTTTTATGTGAGTCCTGGCACAGGTAAGCCCACTGCGCAGAGCTTAAATGTTGAGGGACGGTGCTTCAGTCATTTCAGCTGGTGCCGAACCGAAATCGCTGGACGACAACTCGGGGCCGGAAAGTTTTGGGGCGAACTTGTTGACCGACAAGACCAACAAGGACGGGACAAGCTTAAACCAGCGGCTGTGAACAGAAATCAAAGGGTGTCTATTATGAATATCCTGAGGTTGATTTCAGCCCCAGCACCCGCGTCATGGGGCGTCGGGCGGCACACCAATGCACAATGGTTTTAAGTATTAGGACGACATCTGTTTGGGTCATAGTCGACCACAATATAAAGCCTCTATCCTCCACTCATGCCATTTTATTTTGTAATGCACGTAATCAGACCAATTATGCTGACTGCAACACGGGGAAGCAATGGCTGAGC